GAAAATAATATATTTATAAAAATATTAATTTTAGGTTAATGATGTAACCACATATTTATACAAAGAATTATGCAATTTCAAAATTATATTAAGTTGTAATGTGAAGAATATTATTTAAATGATGGCTGTGAATTTAAAGTTCAAAGTTGTGCTCATTATGAAAATTTTTGCTTGTAAAATATCTCCTGCCTAAAAAATCATTTTAATTATGATAAAAAATACTGTCAGTTATACAATGTCTTATAAAGCAACAACATCTTGGTATAACAGTATATTTCTCTCTTGTCAATTTTCTATCAATAAATAGCTTTATGTTGCTAAAACTTGTATTATATAGACACTATAAATTATCTTATATGAATATTGATAATCTACTGTTACGATCTCCAACACATAGCTGGAAACTGACCATGATGTATCCTTAAAAAAAAATCGAAAGTTATGTGTTACATTTTGTAACACAGTTAGTGTATTTAGTGTTTTGAAATGAGATATTTCTTTAAACTCGATTTTTTCTAAATCTTTACAGTATTTCCTTCATCTAATTATTATGTAAATAAAGCTGTACAAACATTTTTTATACATGTTCTATATTAGATGAAATTATGCATTTGACTCAAAACTTTCATACTATTCTGAAATAAAAGATTTTTATGAGCATGTTAGTGATTACTTTCTGTACAACTGACTCTTACAATGCTATATTTAATTTGCGAGTTACTTTCGCCTATTTTTGCTAGATTTTGTTGAAGTTTTTTTATTGTGATACATTGTCAACAAGCACAGCATTGGAATTGAAACTTACTTTAACGTTTGTTTATCTTTACAAATCAGTCTTTTGTGTGTTCGAAACACTTTGTTTTGTATTTTTTCTTTACTAATAAAATTTTTGTGCTAAAAATATGCATTTGTTATGAATCTTTTGTGTTTACTTACTATTACAGTTGGGAACCGATTATCCGGAACGATCGGGACCATTGCTATTCCGGATAACTGATTTTTCCGGTTTTCTGAATCGCTACAAAAAGCCGTTTTTTTTATTGTTAAACACAAATAAAAATAGAAAAATATTTAGAAATAATCTTAGAAAGAAGAAAAAACGATGAAGTAATACACTAATGATTATTTCTAAAATGATGGTAAGGTAAACATTTTTCAAAAAAGGAAGAAAAATCCTAAAATCTGATGAGGAAAAAAAAAACATTTTTTTTGAAATAGCGGGAAAATTTACGAATTTCGTTCCGGTTTTCTGATTTCCGGATAACGGGTTCTGTACTGTACTTTGAACTATTATCAACATCTCTGAAATTTTGCACAACTCTGGGTGTAAAAAGAAGACACTTTTTGGTGTTGTTGAATGGATTCTGATTATATTGTGATTGACCTTTTCAAATATAGAAACAGTTTTTTCTGTTTACTTTCTTCTACTGAGATTCAGAGTAGCTTGCTTGCTAAATACACAGCTTTCAAATCTTGACAAATATAATATATGTGTAGAATTTGTAAACAGATTTTGCATGATTTATTTCAAGTATTAGTGTTTTTTTTTGGGGGGGGGGGATAAAAAATGTTACATTTTTAATGGCATGAATTGCATTTGTGTGTAAATGTATAAAAAGCCATTTTTTTCAACAATGTGAGAAGCTAGTAAAATATTGATCCTCTATTGAAATTAATAATTCAAAATTAGGATTTAGATTTCAAAAATTTTACAGCCCTCCCAAATGCAGTAGTACTGTTATTTACACTAAATTTCAGGCTTTAAATAGCTTAATTGCAAAGCATACAGCTTATTCTTAAAGAAATTGTGGTGGATTATCAATTTCAGAGCTAATGGCAAAAAATTAGTGTCAACTTTATAACCAAGGCTTAACCAATCTTAAAATTACATCGTGGTAATTAAAGCTTCAATAGACTGAGTAAAACGAGTTCTATGTATGGTGGGAACCATCATCAATACTAGTAAATGGATTTCGTTCTCCCGTTTTTTATATACTAGTTTTAAGAATAGTTTTTTTTTCCTCCAGACATTTCTCATTTTCATTGCACTTCAGTGGCAGAGCTAGCGGGGGCAAGAGAAGACATCTGTTACCAGACTCAGCCTTAGAAGGGTGCGAAATTCATGAAAAATGAAATCCAGGGTAAAATGCTTTTCTCTTTTAAATATCCCCAGTTTCATTTGCTAATTGCAGGCCCATAATTTCTTCCAATTTTTATTCGATTTACCGAAAATTTGAACAGAATTGAATTTATTAATATTGTAGTTTGTTTTGCTTGTAGCTTTTTTTATTATTATTTTCAACTATGTGGTGATATATTGAGCAAAAAATGTGTTTAGAAAAAACGCTTATCATTCAATAAAAAATAATACACGCAATTCAAAACATATGTTACTGATATAGAAACTATATCAGCGACATGTACTCAAATTTTAAACCGAATTGAATGAAAGTTTATGAAGTTATCAAGTTACGATGTCTTAAAATTAATTGCAAAACGTTGCAGAATCTCAATGTGAAATTTAAAAATAAAAACAAAGGCAAGTGCACTTGATTTAAGTTTTTACTTTATCTAACACTTAAAAGGGTTATTGGAAAGCCTCTTTAAGTCGTACACCATATAAAAAGTGTAAAAACTGAGTCGGTCCCCATGCGCTTGTAAACCCTAGCTATGGTTCTGTTCCTCTTTTGTTGAATAAAATATTTTTGATTCAATGTTAATCAAAATATGAAGCTATAATCAGATAACAGAGTCCGGAAGCACTGCTAAAACCAGTTCTACATTGTGGTGATCAACTTTGTCTCGCCAGCTGGGTGTGATTAACAAAAATACACTTGTGCTGTTCCACTTTCCTACTTTTTGTACCTACTTCTCCACAAGATGAAAACACAGAGAGAAGATGGTAGTCTTAACTGGAAATTATGATATCAGGTGACATCCCTGACTGGAAGTTATGATTCTCCAAAGCTTTATTTCGCTTCAAACATATCTCTTTTTCTTGTTTCTCTTGGCTTTAAAGTATGGTAAACATTTGAAATCAGCAACTAAACAATATTTCAGGAATTGTAACAACTGAATCTCTGAAAAGTTGAGCCATGGAGAAAAACAACTATTTCCATATTTGAATCATTAACCTAAACATAGTTAAAATATTTTTAAAAAATTCTAAGCAATGAAAAAGAAAACTTTTAGAATCTGCTGCAACCACAAATAATTTACTCTTATACGTTTGAAATTTTTACAAAAAATAAATTCAACTAGCTCAAAACAAACTTCAAAAACAAAGGTTTCCGTAGCCAGTTTTAGTAATAATAGGCAAATCAAGTATAAGTAAAGTATAGATACTCATTTCATCAACCACTTTTCTAGAAGTACCATTTTCCAAACTAGCCATCAGTAATCAGAAGTAGAATATATAAAACGATAACAAAATTAAAATTAACTTGATTTCAAGGTGTTTTTACTACTTAATTCTTTGTAGGTTTATTACTAATAACATACATTTCAGAATTTATAGAGCCAATCTGCAGCGCAATCTTCATAAATTTATATTTGTCTGCGAATCTAAAATAGTCAGACAGAGTATTATTGTAAAAATTAGGCTTAATTTAATGTGTACAGTAAAATTAGAACAAAGGAAAGTAAAAATTGTACAAGAAAAATTTTTAATTTTTTGTAAAAAGATTTCATATTTTAAATTAATGGAATAATTGAAATTTGTTAAATCCGTAAATGGGCTGACTGGATTCAAAATTGGATCAAGTTTATATAGCGTCTGTAAACAAGTAACTAGAGTTTTTGGAAATTAAGAATTGATTTAACAAATTTTTTTGTTATTTAAAGTCTTTACTTTTTGAAATTTCATTGTTGTTTCACTTTTTAAAAGTCTATTAATTGGAAATTTTAAGTGTTAACATTTTTCGTTTGCTTCTATATCTGTGGATTTTAAGACAAATTTTGTTAAGGACTTGAAACAAATAATAATTAAGTTTAGGAGTCAAAAATTATTTTTCTTTACCATTGTTTTTAAATCTGAAATAGAATAAAATTTCAGATGCTGTGACAATTTTTTCTTAAATTGTAAGTCTAAAAATAATCTGCTGCCATGCTGGAGGAATTCAGTTATCAGGTGCATGAATTTGCTATTAAATGAAAAAAAGGAACACTTTTTTTTTTTTTGAATATTAGCAGCAAATAACAAAATTTTATAACTCTTAGTAGTTATGGGAAAAAAAACTTGTTTTTAAGATGATTACAAAATTCTAAAAAACCATAATTTTTATTATTCAACCATAACACTAATCTTGACTACAAAGCCGTAATAATTACAGATCAATCATACAGCTTGCACTTCTACCTCTCAAACAACTTTCACGGAGTGTTAATGGATCCCACGAGAATAATAAAAATAGTCTTGTTTTACTTTATGTTTATATATTCATTAAATGTTTAACCAGTGTCTGATTATGTTATTCAGTGTTTAACCAGTTTAATAATGAAGCAAAACATTTTTTAGTTATTTATACTGAACATTATAAATCATAGCAAGACATGCCCAAATCTTCTGCCTACTACTTATGACAGATCAAAGATCATCAGAGTTCTCTATAATGCCAACACTTAGTGATTTTTAAATGTTTGCTTGAGGAATTAATCAATAAAAAATAATTATACATATACTCTAAAAATTCTAACTTATAACACAACACATTTTTCATTTTAGTTCTATAATTAGGTCTATGCAATGTGGTTAAATTTAACAAGGTTGTGTACCCATAGAACATGTTTTTTTTTTTCAATCTATATCAGACCTGATTTAGGTCGTGGGCACGTGATACTCAATCATGTTCGAGTGATACTCAAAAGGTCATACTCAAAAATATATTAACTAATTTTCAGCGGATTTATAATTTAAATGGGAGTTTATTTGCTTTTGAGTAACTGAGGTAATCCCAAATGAGATTAGTGTGAAAGTGGAAAAAGAATTTCAAAGACAAAACTTTTCAGAACAGTTTTTATTGTAACAAATGTTACACCTCACATCAATGTGTTTTTACTGGCTTTAATTTTAGTGCTAACAAGCTCCTTTGACTTGTTACAGAAAACATTAAAATCACATTTATTAAAACAAATTTGATAAATTATAATCGATAAACAAAAACTTTAAAAAAAATTCAACAGATATTAAATCTTATGATCAGAAGGGTATTGTGGATGCCACCAATTTAAAACCATCAAATTTTCCACTGCATCGAATTCCACCACATCACCATAACCATTTTCTTTAGAGTTATTGGTAGTCGAGTTGGACTGCCGATAATTTGCATAAGAAAATGACAGCTGCAGTTTTTGACGACGCATGTCGTGGGCCAAATTAATGCGAACATCTGATAGACGACTCCCCATGACCAGCTGAGGAACAACAACAAAATGAGAACAAGTTAATTTCAATATTTTACAACCCTCGTCAGGGTTGTGGTTGACGTAGGTTTCTTGTTTCATTCCTTGTTCAGAATCTTGGCTGTTCCACAAGTCTTTGATAACTACTCCATAAGTTAATGGTGCAGCAAAACATGAGTTGTTAGTTTGAAATTTGAAATAAAAAACCCACTTTCCATCTTCTTGGATTCGCCACATCAGTGTACAGCAAAGATTTGACAAGCAGTAGATATCAGAGTTGGCTGAACGAGAGGCTATTCTATTTATGAAAAGGGGATACATGTAGTACAGAGCTCTGATGACAGATGTTTTAAGACAGTAAGATTGTTCTATACAGTCGGGTTGCAATCTGATGGGAAGGTGAATGTTGGGTGAGTAATATCTGAAAAAATAAAAATATGTAAAATAACACATTGTGCAGTTGATACAGCATTTTTAACTATTGCTAAACAAATATGTTTAATTCAGTTTAAACTTGGGAACTGGTTGTTTTTCCGCATAACTACTTTTTCATTTAGTAATCATTGTAGTATCACCTCTTTATAAGTTTGTGAGAAAATTTCCTAAGTAGCTAAACAGTTGAAAGATAAGTTTTTCCAATTAATATTTTAAGAATATTACAATAAATTTTATAACTACGAATAACAATAAAAACTTTAATAATCTCATATTAAATGCTTCATAAGTTTTTAAATTGCTAAATTATTTGAAAAATAAATCATTTGATAAAAATAAATAATTTAAAAAAAAAAAATACTATTTTGGAAAAAACATCAGTAGATTAAAAATAACAAAACCTAATTACAATTGTTTAAAATACCTTAAAAAAATATCATAGAAATGAAATAAAAAGTTCACATAAGTAGTGGTCACAGAGTCCTGTGATACAAAAATTTATAATTCATATACATAATCAAGTCAGTTAAAAATTACCTTTTGTACATTCTTAGCCAAAAGGAATAAGATCGACTAACAAAATATGAATCTTTACATATTAATGCAAATTTTTTGACATCTTCAGGTTGAATAGCTTGGCCAATTAAAAACCATACATCTATTGGATACCTTATGCCAGGTCTGCTCTGAGATTCATCAGGGAGAGCTTTTGATCGCAGTTGCTTTTCTATAAAAAAAAATATAAGCCTCATTAATATATAACTAACTTAAATTATAGTCATTGAATTTAAACATGGATTAATTATATATCTTTGCAGTTTAGATGGACTGACTCTTTTGTTTGAAATATTATTTAACAAAATCTTTTTAGAGAATGATAACTTTCATTTTTTTTCTGATACTATTGTATCTAAACATTTATAACAAAGCAAAACCTTTGTTTAACATTTTAGTAATTAATTATAATTGAGAGAAAAAAAATTTCTTAGATTTCTTTTGATCAGATTTCTTACATACTTTTTTGGGTACTTTTCCATTTCGCCAGCACAGGCAATAAAGTCACCTACGCAAACTCACCAGGTACAAGTAAATTGAACTGTTTTTTCTTTTTAATTTTTTATGTGACAGCTATTAAAAAAATAGATAAATAAGCAAATAAAATAGCTGAATTTACCTGCGCTAATGAAATGGAAAACTGCCGTTTCTGTTTTTAAATAACAAATGTTTATGAATATGCCAGTGTCATCAGTGAATTTATTTGATAAAAATATTATTTCAGCCCAGTATCAATAAAACATAGAAAAAAGGAGAAAGAATTATACTGAAGTTTTGCAAGTCGACTATTCTTTTATTACTTTATTGACTATTCTTTTATTTATTTATTTTATTTTTTTAGTGAAAACATTCTGCTCTAAATTAGGATGCTTGCCTGGTGCTAGGTAACAGGTTCATATTAAGTATAAAAGAAAAAGAAAGAAGCTTTGTTTAACAAGCTTGGCAAGTTGAACATTTGTTTATTGTAATGGGGAAAAAATCAGTCGTATAACTTTGCTTACTTGATGGTAGGTAACAGGTTAAATATAGAATGTCTGTGTATATTGAGTACCTTAGTATTTATCATGTACAGTAATTTGATTTTTTATCTTTTCAATGATTAGCACAACACAGCATATGCACAGGGAAACATCTTACATACAAAATAAAATACTGTAAGTTACAAATAAAAAAAATGACTTAATCTTATAAATTCATACAAAGAACTTACTTCGATTTTCAGTGGAAATTTCTAAAAGTTGAAATTCTTCAAGATCTCTTTCATACCATAACATTTCTTCTGCATTGCAAATGTTGGCAACTACTTTGTGAAAAATAAAATGCTAATTATAATCATTTCATTAACTTTGTAAATTCTTAATAGACTTGATAATGCTGTTAATAGACTGATCCAATAATGAGTACAATGTTTTATAAATATAATTGAAAATGACCGTATGTGATAAGTGATGTTGCAAAATTCTATAAAATTCCCATGAAATATTTTAATTATTATACTCTAAGTCAAAATACATGAAAATAAAATTAGTAATTTTTGTCAAATCTATCACAACGCGATAATGAGAAGAAAAAATTTTTTCTCAAGAGGTGAAGTTTTTAAAACACAATTCAGCATTAATTGGCAGCTTAGCTCTGCCAATGTATGTAATGTAAGCTGACTCATCATCTATTATATTGATTACACATAGTAATCTTATTTTATTCTCTTACATGAGATAAAATTTAATTCTTAATCAATAGTAATTAAATGAGAATTCACTTTGAAATTTAAAAGATTTATCTTTTTAAATTTAAAAAGTAAAACAAACATCAAAATGAAAGATTCCATCCAACAAATAAGTCAAGACAGATAATTCAATCAATAAAAGATATTTTGTGTTGTTGCACTTAGTCTATAGTACTTAATCCTAAATTTGAAAATACCATTTTGTTAAACAAGGAACATTCTCTATGCTTATAAGAGAATTTTGATACTTAATTGTTTTATTTATACCAATAAAGCATTCATTTATCTGTTACCTGATTAAACACGGCTGATATTACTCATGGGTGACCTGGGGTAATTCCTGATCAAAAAATTCAAACATCTATTTTGTGAAAAAACTATTCAAGATAGAATTTTAATATTTACTGGAAGTTTGAGGCTATATGAGATGAGTCCTATGCTACCATCTTTTGTCTGCAAGTCTAATTAGAATTTAAAAGATTTTAAATTTTTAGTGATCTGATCAGGAATTACCTCTTCTCTTGATCATTTCTGGGGTAATTACTGATCACCAGTTTTTATAGTAAATGTGCTGTTTAAAAATAATTATACAATGGCAATTAACAAATAAGACATTAAGATCAAACAAATAAACCAAAAAGATTCTTTTAAGCAGTTATTAAAACATTTTATTTAAAAGCAGGAATAAAGATTTACACTTCAGCTCTGGCAGCAGCTCTCACACTGAAATTTTCATTTTCAATCATTAAAAGAAATGTGCGATTTTTGCTTTCTAAAAGCTTAGTACCCTTTTTAGGCTTATAATTTCTCACCATATTTATATTACCTAGGTTAATTTATCAACTTAAAAATTATTCTAACAATGTACACACACAAAATTAAGATAGAAGAAAGGTAAGACAAGCTAGAAATGGTGCGTATCAGAACACATTTGTCTTGTATACAGTTAAAAACAAATTTTGTGATTACAGTTAAAATATATTTTATAGTTGTTCCACTTAATATGAACTGTTATTTAAGAAAAGACAATTAACTATTTATTAGCCATTTTTTATACTATTTATAAGAAGAAATGAAAATGATCAGGAATTACCCCAGGGATCAATAATTACCCCATCTGTAGGGGGCAACATTTGATATAGTTTCCTATAATCAATTATAATGTTTACAGTAGATGTGAAAGAATTATACAAAAGCTTACACTATTTTTATATCAAAGAAGGAAAAAAGTAACTCAAAATATTTATTATTAAGAGAAGGAGGGGGATCTTTGCAGAAATATGCACATTTTGAAAGCCATCTTTGAAATGGAAAATGCAGAAAGCATTTTAAAAGATACTTATTTTGCTAAATTAAACAAAAAACTATTATTAAGTAAATGTAGTCATACTTTAGTAAAGTGTACAAGCATTCTTGTCCATGCCTCAAATTTAAAAAAAATAATTTTTTTTAAAAATAAAACTTAAGTGATCATTATTTACCCCAGAAACAGAGTGATCGTGAATTACCCCGGGTCACCCTATTTATTAAAAAATACAATCAAATTTGAAGAGATTCGAAATGAACAATTAGTAAATATTAAAATAAATGTGGAAATTACATACTTTCTTTATTAAAAGAGCATCCAACAGATTTCCGCAGTCTTCCAGTACGAGCTGAACTATTTGCAAAATCTGAGAGTTTCACATCTAAGAAATGAAAGATAAAATTTTAGTACCCAATACATCAACAGACCTGTATAGTATCCTACATGAACACTATGCACTTAAAATTCTGCAAAATTGTGGAAATTTTTTTTAATATTTCTAAAAAAGAAAAAAATCCACCTCTTCAAAGTAAGAAAGTTTTTTTCCCCCTCAAAAAAAAAGACAAGAAAAAAAGATTAATATTTAGGCTTTCTCTTACCAACACAAACATGATATAGAATTATATTCACATGATTTTAAATCACACATCATGATTCCTATTTCCGTGATTTAAGATTGTGTTCCTTTTTTTTTTCAGGATTTTTATATCAAATATCACGTTTCATATTCACATGACTCAAAAGCCACTATTATGATTTGTGTTCAACTGAAATAAAAACTTAAAAATAAAATCAATCATTGAGATTCGTATACATGCGACTTTAAAATCAAATGTCAAGATTGGTATTCATGTGATTTAAAAATCATACTCTGAGATTCACAGTCACACAATATAAATAAATTAATAAAACCTTGCATCAATATTTTGTTGATAACATTCTGTGGATAAATAAATAAATGCTTCTTACAAACTTTTTCTTGCTCAAATTTCATTTATTTTTTTAATTATTTAAAATGTATTTTTCACACAACATTTTTGGATTTCGATTTTCAACCGTTTTATTAAACTAATCCCTGTGGTATGAATCAATACACAGTTCTATTAAAACTAAACATTTTTTAAGAAAATCTGTAATTTTCACATAAACTTAGCCAAATTGAGGTGGTAACAAAAGAATCAAAACTAGTTACAAGAGTTAATCAATGTGTGCAGACTTTTTAATGGTGGTTTTATGTTGGTTCAGGGTTCCCACTCAATTTTAGAAAAACAAATTCCCTGACTTTTCCATTTACATCAGGTAAATTTCAACGAAAATCCATTATTATCTTACCTATATCATGAAATTTTTCATCACAAAACTTTGATTCTTTAATTTGTAATGCTACGTATTAGATTTTCTGTGGAAAATAAATATCATTAAATGAGGATGAAAACATTTCAGTTTAACAATTTTAATAAAAAATTGTAATCGACTTATGTAACTCGACATATGTAATTGAATTATGTAACTCGAATCACAATAACTGATTACTGTTACTGACAGTTTTAAGACTAGTTATTTACCAGGTATAACGTAAGAAGTTTCCAGGTTTTTGCTAAAAAATTTAAACTTCCCCTGACTTCTGAAGTTAAAATGAAATTGCCTGACAATTCCAGGTTTTCCCTGTACTCCCTGACCCGTGGAAACCTGTGGTTTTCCATCTTATCTAAGTCTGTTTATCAGTATATAGGTTGACTTTTTAAACTCCTAAAATTTTACGAAAATTAAGGGTTCGACTTAATTCATTATAAAGTTTATTAAACATTGATTATAAAGTCGGACATTTCAGTGATCGCAAAATTTCGAATTTATTTAAGAGTATTTCAACAATATTGCACAATGAAAACTTATACACAATAATAAATACCACAAAACTACAAATATAAATATTTCAGAACATGATCAATGTCAGATTCAATGAGGTAAGCAGTGTCGTAATACATAACCCCACTCTGCCATGGGTCCTACACAATCCTTACATGCTGTGGTCATACAAAAAAATAGTCTTTACTCCCATCCAAAGACTTCAAAATTTCCCGCTTTCCAGAAAATTTTACAATAACAAATAAATCCACTTTTTGCAATGCGTCTTGTACCATTTGACACATGATATTTTTAAAGCAGTAAGAAAATTTCTTGTTATTTAAAACGTTTTTAAGTTGAAATATTTTTGATGAGACAATTTCGTACACTTATTTTTTTTTACATTTTAGAAATTTTCAGGTTTGCTTTCTTTAGCTGCCGACTTATAAACCAAACATACCAGCAATTTGAAATATGCTATTACATATTCAAAATAGGGGGTGGACTTTGCCACCGGCATATTTGGTATTTTATTTGCACAGGTGTAATATAGTAAAACTTCGCTCTTTTTAACTAATTGGTAAAACTTTCTGCACACATTAATTAATTTTTATAACTACTAGTTTCAATCCTTTCAATACCACCTCATTAGGCGAATATCAATTGAAAATTAAAGATTTTTTTTAAAAAATCCATAACAAAAATGACATTTACATAATGTATATATATAAATATGTGAATTTCACATTTAAATGATTTAGCATTATTGATATCAGATTGCACTAAAAGCTTTGTTATGAAACACACAGGCATTCAGACCTTTTATGATTATTGAATTAGTCGTCTAAACAACTCTAGTCTTGAAAAGATTTTATATATTTATTTGATATTCTGATTTTGTATGGCTCTTTCTTTTAATCACAGCCAATATTTCATGTATTATTGACTGAACAGTTGTTTTTTCATAGTTAGATAATGAATATTTTTACAAAGATCGTTATTTGAGAAGTAGGATTGCTTCGGATTACCACTGAAATTAAGATTTACAGAGTTTCTCTGAATAAATCGTATAACTACAACAATACAAACAAATAAGAACTAGTGTTGAATTTCTGATGCAAAAAAAAAAAAAAAAAAAACAGTTCTGACATGACTATTTTTAAACTGTGCTTTACTCAGATAAAACACAGTTTAAATGGAACCCAAAAGGTGTTCCATGGAACATCTTTCAGGAACCATTGATTATTTAATTTTAGAAACATTTTAAAGAAAATGTGTAGTATATTTGCTTGGGGTAAAGGGGATATATTCGTACCAGTATCTGTTCATGCCCACTACCTTCACCAAGGCTTTTCAATTGGCTAAATGTTTTCAAATTTCCAAAAGTTTTGAAATATATATATATATACACACATACATTGTGGTTAGCATAGGGGTGGTTATGAATTATTCCTTAATAGTTGGTCCCTTCCTCTATGTTTTTTTTTTTTTTTTTTGGTTTCACTGTTCTAAGGGGGATATTTCTGTATAGTGATCTATCGCACCAAATAAGAGAAGATTTCTATATGGCGATTTGTGGCAGAATAATTGTCCAAGTCTTAACAACTTCCGGACAGTGGCCTGCAAAAAACTTAAAAAAAATCACAGAAAGGGATCAACTTGGAAGGTTTAACTCATAGCCACCCCCAGACAAATATCTACACGGTTTCTTTCTTAAAAAATTGCAAATTAAAATTTTTTTAGGCACATTGGCGATTATCGATCACGCAACAGATCACGATATGGAAATATCCCCCCAAATAGAGTTTCAAAAAAATCATGTAGATGTTTGGCCTGAGGAAGCTACAAGTTATACCTTACAAGTTGGTCCTTTTCCGTGATTTTTTTTTTTTTTTTTTTTTTAGTTTCTAGCGGACCACTGCCCGGAAGTTGCCAAGACATGGGGGTTACTCTGCCTTAGATCACGATACGGAAATCTCCTCATTCTACAGGTCACTGCTTTGAAGTTGACAAATTTTGGTGATTATTTCGATATGGAAATCTTCCAAAACAAATCACTGAAGTGTATAACTCATAACCATTCCCATGTAAGGCCCCTCTTTTATTTTTAATTTTTGAAAATAAAACAAACTTTTTGGTGATGGTAGTTGGCGCGAAGAAAAAAAAAACAAATACGAAATATACTCTGTTACAGTTTTGTCTTCAGGGATAATTTCACATCAATCACAATCGCCAAGGTGCCAAATAGATTTCAAACTTGCAAATTTATTCTTAGAAAAATATGTAAATGTTTGCGTGGGGAGAAAGGGGACTGCGAGTTATATCTTTGGAGTTGGTCCTTTTCCGCGATGTTTTTTTTAAAGTTTCTAGCGGGGGGGGGGGGACTCTGCCCAGAAGCGGCTACGACTTGGCGATTATTCTGACACAGATCACGATACGAAATGTCTCCTTCCCTTTTAAGAAAATATCAAGAATATAATTATAACATTCCTATTCCTGAAACCTTTGGTCAGATCATCTTTCAAATTTAAAAATAAAAATGTTATAAAAGATATCAAACATTTAAAATTATTGTGTAATTTTTCAAAATGCATTTAAAGAAACACAATAGTTTTTAAACAAAAAATTTAAATACAAATTTAAAGGCAATTAATTGATAAACAAAATGTAAACAAACAGCTCGAGTTGCACAATCACCCGTCACTACAAAAAATGAAACAGATCATTCATCACGTAAATCTTACAGATATTATATTTATATAATTAGGGCATTAATTTTAGAAATTAATTAGCAAATTACCTAATGCAATATCAGAAGTATTGTTTTTCTTCAGACCTTTTTTACTACGCTTAGGCATTCTGCAACGTTAGATTTTTAATAAAAACGATTGTGGTGAAGTGAGGCGCTAAGTTTCTTTTAAAAAATAAATCATATGGTTTAATATATTTTTCAAAAAATAAAAATTTAAAAAAAAGTTGTTTATATAAAACATCTTGAAACTTGTACCACCACCTGCATAGGCCACCATGGCCACAGGAGCCTCACGCTCAGAGAGACTCCATGCGCTTGCGCTTGTTAAACTGAAAAAGGACATCTCGAACTCAGTCATTATCAATCATGATTGAATTAAATTAAATTTTATTTTACCCAAAACTCAAAATTTCAGAATAAAAAGAAAATTAAAAATCCCTATTTATGAATTAAATCATAGAAAAGTACAAAAACCAGTTTTCATAACAACAAAATTAAAAATTATGCTGGAAGGATATGCAGGTCGAGAGTAAAAGCAGAGGATTCTGGGATAACGGGATAGAGTAGTGAGGAAAAAAATATTTTCAAGGGAATGAATGATGAAGCCGAGGCTTTCGAGATCAATTTGCAATTAATAAAAAATTAGTTGCTGAAGGCATTTTATTTTTACCATCAATTATTTTCTGGTGAACTAAGGTTTGAATGCTTACTGTAGTTAAGAATAATAAGATAGCAATGATTACGATTTCTCCATTTGTGTCTAAGAAGATGAAACTGAAACTAGTCAATGTTACTCTCAATTTTTTGTGTGGAAACAATCCAAAATGTTCATCTAAATATTCATTTTCTTTAACTTAATAAGCTAAATAAGATTAGTCATAATAAGTTTCGTTATTTATTATAGTTTTAATAGATGCTTTTATCATTAAATGAATATTTCAGTTATATTGGAGTGGTTTAATCAAATTCATTAATTGTAAACATGTGGAATATGATGTGTGATGTGATGCCTACCATAGCCGAAGACAGCCTCGGTCAAAGAGGTGGTCAATTTTCGGCCGATGAAGCAAATTTTGAACAGTTAATGGTTAATATTTTGGACGAGCGAGATAAGCTTTTAGAAACACTTCGGGACACTCAAGAAAACCTAGCGAACACTCATATCAAATTAAATGACTTAAATAAAGAAAGAGATGCTCTTCAAAGACAATTGCAAGCAAATTTGCCACAAGTAAGTCTGATTTAATCGCTTTTCTGCCTGAATTTTTTTTTTTTTTTTTCCTGATGAATATAATATAATCAATTGCCTATTTTTCCCTGCTGCTGTGTAAACTAGACAAATGAAAATTATTTACAATCTAACATATGACGATAATTTTTATTTAAATATATAAATTCTATAAATAAATTGTAAGTTTTTATAAAAGCATATCATTTTTTTAAGAAAAAAATCTCTTTATGAAATTTTATAAATTAGTTTCATTTTAACAAATTAATTTTAATTGCAAAAAGTGCATTGAAACTATTAGAATGTAAACTAATGTTTTTTTTTCAAGAATAAGCTAAATAAATTGAGTTCATATGTAAATATTTCGCGACAGAATTTATTTATTTATTTTTGTTGGTTAATCTATGGCTTTTTTTTTACTTATGTTCTCTCATTTAAATTATTGTATGTATGTTGTTAAAATAAGTATATACATTATATTTTACCTTATAATTTAAAATGTTAAATATTTGAATGTTTTAGAATCAAATTAGATTATCAAATTGTATTAAAATTTAAATAATGATTTTTGAAATTCTTTAGAAATAGGATTAGGATAAGTGGTGTATTGAGGTGAAAATCTTCTGGGGATAAGAAGTTTGAATTGTGCTTCATCCAAATTTTGTATACCTAAATCTTAATAATTTAACATTTTAACACTGTAGGATTGGTTGCTTTCCATCTTATCAAACCAGTTTCTTTCTATTTTGTTCAATGGAGTATTGTTAATTTTTAACCAAAAGTATTATGTATAAACTTGCTTGTTGGCAATTAAAAAATATATTTAATTTTCACGAGGTGTTTTAATTATAACACTTCTTGTAAATTTCTAATTGCTTACCTATTACATTTTTTTTTTTCACTTTAAGCCTCAGCCTTGAGCTTTTATGTAAAATTATATTGAAATATCTTTCTTATGCATTCCTCCTATGAATAACATGAGAAAACTGTTTGTTTGTTTTTTGCTACAAAAAAAGCCTGTAGCTGAATGTTAAGAAAAAGTAAAGTATAATGTAATCTTAATGAATTATGAAAGTTACTAAATATAATGAATTATTTTAAAATAAGCTGAAAAAATGCACAAAATAAGAAGTGTGTGTATCTACTATGCAGTTTCACATTCTACTTAGTTTTTATAGCAAAATTTGAAAAATATAGGATGTCTTCTATCCTTATTTAATTTATTATCATGTTTGACAGTTTAACTATAGTGATGCTTCCCTTATTTTATTTATTTTTTTTTTTAATTTTTATAGGTCTATTATAAAAGAAGTTTACATTAAAGTATAATTTCCTATTCTACTATCAAATAAATTACATACTTTAGAAATATAATAAAATAATTCAGAATTGATATTCATTAAATAAAAACTAGCATTGATATAAATATCGTATAAATTAAAGGGCTAATTTCTAATCATATTTTAGAGTAAATATTGTAAGTGGCTAAATGTTGCAATAGTTTATCTTTAATTCTTTATATTATAATATTAAGGTAATAGATTTATCATTTTCCTTCTAGTTTAAACAACTAAGAACTGATTCACCTATCCTAGTATACTAATATTTTTCAAAAATTCCTTGGAGTAGTATTTCAATTTTAAATTTTCATTTACAGTTATTTCTATTAGGTGAAAGAAATTATAAAAATTATTTGGTAGTGTTGTGATTCTAATGAAAGATAAGGAAATTACTTTGCTTCATCATTGTTAAGGGGTATGAGAAACAGATTAGACCCATAAAAAACACGAGTGCCAAAAAAGCAAAAATCTAATATATAGGTAAAGGCCTTTCAAGCTTTCAAGTTCTGATTCCTCCTGCTTTAGTTTAAACAGAAAAAATTATAAACAATGACTCTTAAAAATAACTTTTTTTTTTCTTTTTTTAAAAACTTTTCCCACAAAAACTGTCTGCCCCTACGCTGTTTTTTTTTTTTTTCTTTTAAATACAGATAAATAAGAGTTGTCTAAGTAAGAATCTTATTCTAACTATTATGCAAATTCAATTAAATTCAAGCCCTAAATGTTAAATATGATTCACAGCACTATAACTTTTACCATATTACAAAAATTTTTAAAACTGAGTAATTAATTAAATTTTTTTTTCTTGTTTTCTGGCATCCCACCTACAAAATCTAAAATAATGTATGTCTTTCCTCTATATTCTCCCCTTTCCTTTCAGTTTAAAAAATTTGTTTAGATTATAGATTATGCTGTATTAAATTTACGTATAATCATGCATGTTTTAACTGCATTAAAAGACGTGTGGCTCTCACTGTGAAGCTATACATAACGTAACAAGGGAAACCAATAAAGTAATTACAAGGGGGCTCGAGCTACATGAAGTATCTGGATGGTGCAAACTGTTAAAAAACAGGACTGCTTAAATTACTTTATGCATCACTTTTGCCACATTCATCAATAGTGTGAACATAAATATTTAAATAGGGTCAGCATAGAATTGAGTGGTTCATATGAATAAGTAAGATCCATTGTCTCATTGTATGCATGTGCATCAAGGAAGCAACTTTCTGGTGCACCATCTACTGCTAATTAGCCAAATTCAGCAGTGAAGTGGACGCGGCACCTGTCGGGTAACTATAGCACCCCCCCCCCCCTTTACTCTGCGCGCATGCGCATTGTCCGATCCTGAGTCAGTTGCACGAGGGATATGAAAGTAAGCAGACGTAAACAAACGCTCTGATTATATTACGATGATATAGTGTTGATGTACCTATTTTTATCTTCATTCATTCTTAATAAATAATTTTTATTTTATCTGATAATCGCCATCATTTCTTCCTATTAATAATTCGAAAAGAACCCTACAGCACCCAAAAGTGTCAGTAAAGGATGATCAAAATCTTCAAATGTGGCAACCATGTTAGGTTTGATTGTGAAGAATAAACCACAGACTATGCTTTGTTTGACAAGAAGGGCATACACATACACTCAGCAGCTAACAGGTTTAATCTTCTGGTGCATGTAATTGTCTATTGTAATAGGGTAATGAATCAACACCTCCCCAGAATGGTTTTCCAGAGTCCTCCCTTGGTCAAACTGCAGAAGTGCATTGATGTGGCCCAGGTACAAAATCTGATATACTATCTGTATCTGTTTTTTTATTTAAAAGTTGCATCTATCCTTTGATACATACAGCCTTTGCATCAGGCATTTCTGTACTATCTATGTAAAAAAGAGAGAACATGCCTTGAATTTGGTTCTATTGTGGTATTATCCTTGAATTTTCTAGCATTTTCTGAATTTAGTAAATGATTGTTTTTACTCCATACACCATTTATATACATAATATCAAAATCAAAAATAGTTTAGTGTGCAGAAAGGCATGTAATTGACAAATGTGTAACAAAATTTGATTTTCTTGCATGACTTAACATTTCGAGGGTTAAATATCTTTTTTAAGTGAAAAAAAAATTATTGTTGGAAATTTAGGTATTTTACATTAAAAATTGCATGGCCTGTCCAAAAGTGATTCTCTGACTCCTATCAATATTCTGTTGAAAATTATATTAGGAATTTTAAAAAAAGAAGGGCTTATTTGATGAATGCATATTTTTCACAGAGCTACTGAATGCTGATCTTATAGTTTTTTCTGTTGATTTAGTAAATAAATTTATTTTGTCTAAGAATTTTTTTTAGCGTAAATTTTAAGCAAAAAATTAGCAGTTAAATTGATAATTATTTTAAGTGTAGGTTTTGGGGAACTCATCTGTAATTTTTCTCTAGCCCCTGAGAATTAATTTAATACGTGTAACTGTGAGTTTTAGCTTGTTGCTAGAGAAGTAAATTAAACTTTGCATATATTTACACATATTTAATAATACTTTTCTATAACATTAATATTAACATATTTACTTTTTTTATTTGTTTTAAATTATTCTTATTGATAAACTTTTAATGTATATTAATCTTCATATGTATCATACCATTCTATATTTTACCGTGCTGCTTGTTTGAGTTTTATTTAAAATATATTCAGCTTACACTTCTAATAATATATTTACAAACATAAAGAAATGTCGAATACAGAATCAATTGCATAAATTCAGTGAATTATAATTGTATTTCTTAT